GGGGGATGTATTAATATCACCCCCATTTTACAGATGGGAGAAGAGTCAGGGAATTAAGGGAGTTAAGTAACTTGTACAAGAGAGTTAAGCACTAAATGGCAGAGCTGGGTTTGAACCCCAGCTTTACATTCTGAACCATTATTCCTCTGTCATGCCCCTTAAAATGATGGATCTTGGATTTTGGGTTTTTTTTTTAATGTTTATTTATTTTTGAGAGAGAAAGAGACAGAGTATGAGCTGGGGAGGAGCAGAGAGAGAGGGACACAATCCAAAGCAGGCTCCAGGCTCTAAACTACCTGCACAGAGCCCAATGTGGGGCTTGAACCCACGAACCGTGAGATCATGACCTGAACTGAAGTCAGATGCTTAACCAACTGAGCCACCAAGGCGCCCCAGGATTTTGGTTTCTTATAATTTTTACTCAATGTTCCCCCTGAATACATGTAAAGTTCTTTGGGAGGAGGGCCTGTATGATCCACTGAATATATGCTTACTGACTGATTAAAATCACATTGCTAATTAAAAAATTTTTTAATGTTTATTTATTTTTGAAAGAGAAAGAGACAGAGTGCAAGTAGGGGAGGGGCAGAGAGAAACGGAGACACAGAATCCCAAGCAGGCTCCAGGCTCTGAGCTGATAGCACAGAGCCCAACTCGGGGCCCAAACCCACAAACCGTGAGATCATGACCTGAGCCCAAGCCAGACGCTTAACCACTTAGCTTAACCACTTAACCGACTGAGCCACCCAGGCTAATTGCTAATTGATGCAAAGTCATCCAACACAGAAGGCTCTACCTGGGACCTAAGTAGGAAAGGAAATGCACTATTCCAAAAGCTAAGATGGCCGTGGGGCAGGGAGAATGCAGAAACCACACTCAGATGAATGGCCGCAGGAGGACGGGTGAAATGGACAGGAGGTAGTGTTATCTTTAAGCCCAAACAGGCCCCACCCAAAGAGATAGTACTAACTAAAGCTTCTAAATTTTAAAACTGAAACCAAGATGAATAAGCCAAATCATGAGGGAACTCCACTCTGCTCTGTTGTTTTGTCTGCATCACGGTGAAGTTTAGTTATGAACCAAACTGCCGATGTGTGGAAACTAAACTACATGTGCGTCAAATAGGAGAGAGACGTGTCCTTCCAGATGCTGGAGAAAAGGAGAGGTGGACAGCAAAGGACCATGGGTCTAAGGAACATGGAAAGAGAATGCTACCCCTTGCCTTGTCTTTGCCTCCGCATCCCCCCACCCGCCCCCCGCTTTGCCAGCTCACAGACTGGCTGGTCAGGTGTGGGATGGTCCCACCTCTGCTTCCAAGCAGCTGCGTGACTTTAGGAAGGTCCCTCCATCTCTAAAATCTCAGTTTTCATGTCTCCAAGACCAGTGCTCTAACCTCTGAGCTATGGGGGCCTGTTTTTACAGTGTCTACAAAATCATGGGGCTAAAAACATGGAAAGAGGCTAAGTGTCCATCAACGGATGAATGGATCAAGAAGATGTGGTTTATATACACAATGGAATACTACATGGCAATGAGAAAGAATGAAATCTGGCCTGTGTAGCAACATGGATGGAACTCGAGGGTGTTATGCTGAGCGAAATAAGTCAGGCAGAGAAGGACAGCTACCATATGTTCGCACGTATAGGAGGATTAGGAGGAACTTAACGGAGGACCGTGGGGGAGAAGAAGGGGAAAAATAGTGGAGGAGAGGGAGGGAGGCAAACCATGTGAGACTCTTGAATACTGAGAACAAACTGAGGGCAGATGGGGTGGGGGGGAGGGGAAGGGGGTGATGGGCATGGAGGAGGGCACTTGTGGGGATGAGCACTGGGTGTTATATGGAAACCAGCTTGACAATAAACTATTTTTAAAAAATTAAAAAATTTTAAAAAATTAAAAAAATGTTTTTGAAAAAAATCATGGGGCTAGACTACAGCATCATTTTTGTATTTGTTGTTAGTCCCTATTTCTTCTTCTTTTTTAAGTTGAGGTAGGGGTCCCTGGGAGGCTCAGTCGGTTAAGCTTCAGTCCGACCTCGGCTCAGGTCACAGTCTCACCAGTTTGTGGGTTCGAGCCCCCCTTCCCCAACTCGCGTGCTCGTGTTCTTTCTAAATAAATAAATAATTAATTTAAATAAATTGAGGGTAAAATTCACACGATATAGAATGAACCAACTTTAAAGTGTATGATCCAGTGATACTAAGAACATTCACTACGTTGTGCAATCACCACGTCTGTGTAGTTCCAAAACATTTTCGTCACCCCATAAGAAAACCCTGTTCCCATTGAGCAGTCACTGCCCTTACCTCCTCCTCCCAGCTCTTGGCAATTGCCAATTTGCTTTCAGTTTCTATGGATTTACTGGTTTTACGTATTTCATTTGAAAGGAATCATACATCTGGCCTTTTGGGTCTGGCTTCTTTTACTCAGCATAGTGCTTTTTTTATTTCATCCATATTACAGTAGGTATCAATCCTTCATTCCTTTGTATGGATGAATAATATCCCATTATAGACTACAGTATGATTTTGAGCTCCAACAGTTTGATCCCCTTTCCTTTTCAAACATCTGTTCATAAACACATTATGAGCACCAATTGAAGAGAAGGCAGGTACTAAGGGTAAATAACTTGGGGCACCTGGATGGATTCAGGTAAGCCTCTGACTCTTGGTTTCGGCTCACGTCATGATCTCATGGTTCATGGGTTCAAACCTCACACTGGGCTCTGTGTTGAGCATGGAGCTTGCTTCGGATTCTCTCTCCCTCTCTCTCCGCCCCTCCCCTGCTCACTCTATCTCTCTCTCAAAATAAATAAATATTTTTTTTTTAATAAGGGGAAATAGTTGAGAGATTTGTAACCCTTGGCTTCTTTTTTTAATTGGAGTATGACATTTAAAAGTGCCCATTAAAGTACCCAAGTGTACAGTTTCATGAATGCTTACAAAGTAAATACAACTATTAACTTTAAGCTGGTTCAACAGATAATATATACTCACACCCCATTCCTGTCTTCTCATTACCCTCCCCCAATTCTCTTTTCCTCAAGGTACCACCATTCTGACTTCAAACACTAAGCGTTTGCTTTTCCTGTTTTTGAACTTCAGGTAAAGGGAACCACAGCTTGTCAATTTTTTTTACATCTGGCTTTTTTCACTCAGTATTATGTTTGCGAGACTCTTGCACTGTGTCGTATGTCACTGAAGTACCTTCATTCTCATTGTTGTACAGTGTTAATAATATCCCAGTCTACTTATCCATTCTATGCTTGGTGGACACTCGTGTAGTTTTATCTCTGTGCCATTATAATAGTGTTGGTATGAACATTCTAGCTTATGTGTTTCGATAAACTGATGTTCACACATCTTCTGGGCATATGCCTCGGACTGAAATTATTTGAGTCATATATTCAGCTTTACTAAATACTGACACAGAATTTTCCAAAATGATCAGACCTGTTTTGATTCTCATCTTTTGCTTCTAAGATAATCTTTTCCAAAGCATGGGGCTGCTACCCGCTGCTATAGTAGTGTTGCATAAAAGGGATTTATGTGAGGAGCAAAATAAATAACATCAAGTTCTCAAGTGAGAAAATTATTTCCTGTTTAATGCTCTTTAAGTCCTTCTGATTACATAAAGAAAATCCCATGTGATGCCAGGATGTTGCTAGCCACCTCTCTGTATCTGTTACAAAAAGTTTCAGACTCTCAGCAGGCAACTGTATCTACTTGATATTTAATAACATATTGTTTTAATGTATTTATTTTAATTACTTTCTACTTACAGCAAGAGGTAAAGTTTTCTCATTTTAGTTATTTAACATTTTCTTTCAAATAAATTCATTTAAGGGGTGCCTGGGTGGCTCAGCTGGTTAAATGTCTGACTCTTGATCTCAGCTCAGGTCCTGATCCACTGTCATGAGTTCAAGCCCTGTGTTGGGCTCTGAGCTTTGCGTGAAGCCTACTTAAAATAAAAATAATAATACATTCACTTAAGTTTTTCAAAAGTGAGTCAACTTAAAAATAGTAAAGGATAGGCAGATGATATGCAGTTTCAAGGAACTAAATTGGTGGTGGAATGACTCCTATGTGGAAAATACCCACTTAGAGCCTGCATTTACCAGAAGGCCTCGATGTGATTTTTATGGGCATTTGATGAGCTTGCCTCAAAGTAGGAGGCTGGGGTGCCTGGGTGGCTCAGTAGGTTAAGTGTCCGACTTCGGCTCAGGTCATGATCTCACAGTTCATGGGTTCGAGCTCCGCATCAGGCTCTGTGGGGACAGCTAGCTCAGAGCCTGGAGCCTGTTTCTGATTCTGTGTCTCCCTCTCTCTCTGTCTGACCCTCCCCTGCTCACACAGTCTCTCTCTCTCTCTCAGAAGTAAACAAAACATTAAAAAATTAAAAAACAAAAAAACAAAGTACCAGGCTCACCACTGAGCACTTGGCTTTACTAATCGACAGAAGACAAATTTTAAATTTGTTCCAATTCTAATTTGGGAAAGAGAGGCCAAAATGGAAGTCCATACACCATCACAAAGGTCTGCAGAACACCAAAAACTTGATGTGTCTGACCTGCTTGGCTTATTAATGGACAAAAATTGCACTGAAATTATTTCACTTCATGCAGAAGTCAGAAGGCTCTATCTTATGCCTAACCAGGAAGAAGGACCTTTTGCAGAACCGATAGAAACAGTCATCCACACAGGTTAATAATAAAAATCAGTAGCAAACATGAAACTAAATATCTAGTTCCCCACCTGGATTAGTCCTTTTTAGGTTGGGGCCACAATTAGAGACAAAGTGTTGCTTTCTCCAGCATTCAGCTACTCAGAAGCCCCAACAGGAATCTTCTCAGAACTAGTGCAAAGGCACCCAACAGGCAAGTTGAGGAAGGAAAGGCAGGAAGGACCTTTCCACCCCAGCTCCGGCCCAGGCCCCGCCCCTCCGCCTAGGCCCCGCCCCTCCGAGGCCCCGCCCACTGCCCCGCCTCCTCCGCTTCCCAGTCGGCTCCGCGAGTCCCGCGCGCGCTGGAGATGGCGGCCACGGTGGGAAGGTTTCTCCGGGCTTCGGTGAGTGGCTGCAGACAGGGGACAGGCGCGGAGACACTGCAGTGGCACCGAGAACGTACTTCTCGGGCAGGATCCTGCTCCCTGGTCTGGGGGCTTTTCGGCCTTCTTGGAGGGCACCAGCGGGTAACGGACCCCGAGGCCTCTTCTGTGGGGAAAACGCCTGCGCAGAATCGCCCTCCCCGTAGCCTCCTCCTAGCGGTCCCCTTTTCTAATCCTTCTCGCTCAGGAGTCGCGGCTCCCCCAGCCGCTTTCCACCTGAGCACCTGGTCCTGGAGGCAGGCGACCTGGGCTCTGTTCCCTGTTCTGTAGCCTACTCTGTGACCTTGGACTGACTTTCCGAACCTCAGTTTACTACCCTTACCGTAAGATAGAGAGTGATGCCTACGTCAGGGAGTTGCTGGGAGCATCCACTAAATGCTGGATGGAAACGAGAGTGGTAAAGTACCAACTGCCAAAGTGCAAAAGGCGCTTCCTTCCTCCCAGCTCAGGTCTGTCCCCAGGTTTTCCAGGCAAAGCATTTTGGTACCCACCCTCCCCTTTCTGCTGGCGGGGGTTCAATGCAGGCTCTTTCTTCCTGAGTCATGCTAGACACTGTAGTTGAGCACGCAGTTCCCTTGAGCCCTGTACAATCTTTCCGTGGGCTGAACTTTGCTTGTTTGCTTATCTTCGAGGCCTTGTGTTTTCTGGGAAAACCTTGACATGGTAGAACTTGCTTAGCAGATTGTGCTGGTAAAGAGTGTAAATACTCAGGGCATGGCCAAGTCCCCTTGGTTTTTGAACGCTCTATATTCTTAAGAGCATAGAGTCTTTACGGTCTTATAATTCCCCTCTGCCTTGCAGTTAAAAATTTAATTGCCTCGCAATTAAAAATAAAAGTTATGTATATTTAAGATATACAGCATGATGATATATATAATGAAATGATTACTGCAGTCAAACTAACATATCCCTTCACATAATTCTCTTTTTGGTGTGTGATAAGTGCACCTGAAATCTCTCTCAGCAAATTCCCAGCATTCAATATACTCTTAAGTATAGTCATCATACCCTTATGTTGGATCTCTAGACTTATTCATGCTACATAACTGCTACTTTGTACCCTTTTACCAACATCTCCCCATTCTCCTCTTGCAGTCTTGAAAGGAGAAGGGAATGTTAAGAACATGGAGATTCCGGGGTGCCAGGGTGGTTCAGTCAGTTAAGCTACGACTCTTGGTTTCAGCTAAGGTCGTGATCTCACAGTTCGTGAGTTCCAGCCCTGCACTGGGCTCTGCACTAACGGTGTGGAGCCTGCTTGGGATTCCCTCTCTCTCTCTCTCTCTCTCTCTCTCTCTCTCTCTCTCTCCCTGCTCCTCCCCTGCTCATTCTCACTCTGTCTCAAAAAAAAAACAAAAACAAAAACACACACACACACACACGACATTGAGATTCAATCTATGCTCTTAGAGTTTGGGGTTTGGTATTTGGTTCACAGGAACAGGGATAGCTGAGCCCACCAATGGCCTGATGCCCTTTCAGCAGGGCCAGCCTTCAGCTACCATTCTGGGACTACTTCCTAATATAAAGTGTTTCTCTTTCCAGGTTGCCCGACATGTGAGTGCTATTCCTTGGGGCATTTCTGCCTCTGAAGCCCTTCCACCTGCTGCTTCCCGAAGAACATGCTTGACAAATGTATTGTGGTCTGGTTCTGCCCAAGCAAAATTCGCTTTTAGCACCAGTAAGTGTTAATGCCGTGGTTTGACCCAGGAATGAAAACAGGAATCCGCATCTCAGACAGGGGCTCTGAAACCCTGGCTATGCATTAGGCTCACTTGGGGAGTTTTTGAAAACCCACCACTGCCCCAGTCCCACTATAGACAAGTTAAGTCAATCTCTGAGGTGTGAGAGTAGGACATCATTTTTTTTTAATGGAAATATAGTTGATAATAACATTATTAGTTTCAGGTGTACAATATAGTGATTCAAGATTTATATACATTAGGTGGTAATCACCATGATAAATCTAGCTACTGTCTGTCATCAAAATTGTTACAGATTATTAACTGTATTCACTGTGCTGTGTTGTGCATTGCCACCCCACCCCCATCTGTCTGTCTGTAACTGGAAATTCCTACCTTTTAATCCCCTTATCAGTATATTTTAAAAGCTCACCCAAGTGATTCTAATGTCCAGTCGAGATTGAGAATTACTGAGGCACACAGCCCATGTGTCACATTACATTTTTGGTCATCAGAGGTTTTAATCCTCTGTTGAGGAACATGGGGGTCGGGGGGACTCAGATACGTCTGGGTGTTGCTGTGCGTAAGGGGATGAGAGGTAACTGGAAGTGGCCAACGCCTGTTGGAATCTAAATCGAGGCTTTTGGAGTCAGACCTGTGTGTGGGCCCAGTTGGCCACGTTAGAGCATGGACTCCTCCAGGACCTGAGTGAAACATGGCTACTTCTTGAGATTTACACTCCCATTTTCTAGAATGTGGGCTTTGCTAAGATGAGCCTCAGATAATGAGTGGTGTTTGAAGATACCTCCTTGAAATTTGTCCTGCCTTTTAAAAAGCATGTGTAACATGTAATAGTTTGAGAGATGTACTTCAGCAAAGCCTTTGCTAATTTTACTACCCTGGAGCGTTAGAAAAAAATACTAGTAATTTGATGCCCCGCATATAAAACTTTCCTTGTCCCCTGTCCCAAGCGCACTCCAGCCCAGGTATTTTGACACTTTGCCCCAAGTTGCCAGAGGAAGCAAGTCCTTTCTAGTTCTGACCCATCTCTTGCACACTTTCCTTCTCTCCTGTCCTCTCAGGCGCAGCCCTCCTGTCCATCTCTCACTGAGATAACTGAAACCCCCTCCTACCCCCAGTCTCCCTTCCCCCAGCTCCCCCTCCTCTTTCCTTCCCTGCCAGACCAACCCTCCCAATAGCTGACTCATCTTCCATCTCCTGCTGGTAAACCTCCAGTGAGGACTCTCTTCTTTTTTAAGAACAAACTCTACCTAGCCTGATATCTCGGGGCCGTCATAGCCTGGCCTTTAGCCGTTCTTGCTTTGTCTCTCACACTTCCTTCCCCACATACCTGCTCTCTCTGTTTTTTTGTTTTTTTTTTTTTTTAGTTTTGTTTACTGTTCTTTATTTTTGAGAGAGAGAGAGAGCCTGAGAGAGCAAGAGCGCAAACGGGGGAGGGACAGAGAGGGAGACAGAATCCCAAGCAGGCTCCAGGCTCTGAGCTGTCAGCACAGAGCCCGATGCGGGGCTCCAGCTCACAAACCATGAGATCACGATCTGAGCTGAAGTTGGACGCTTCACCGACTAAGCCACCCAGGCGCCCCTGCTCTCTCTGTTCTAATCAAACTGTGCCACGGCTGTTCCCACACTTGCTCTGTTCCCTCCATGCCATTTGCCTTGTCCCACGTGGCTTTGGCAAAATCCAAACCATATTTAGAATCCATGTCTAGGCTCTTGTCTTCCTCAATTCTATCTTAATGCCATCCCTACTGGCTTCTGGTATCATCTTTCTAATCTTTTTAGTTCCCATGGTACTTTGAATTGGTGTACAATGTGTACGCAAGGTTGGGGGGGAGTTACCTAAGATGTACAGTTGAACTGAACCTTTTGATTTATACTCCTAATTAATTACCATGAGAGATTTGAATACAAAGAGGTGCGTCATTTAGCAGATGATGAACTGTACGTGCGTGTGGCTTCCTTCAGGTTCCACACACCATGCTCCTGCCGTCACCCAACACGCGCCCTATTTTAAGGGCACCGCCGTTGTCAATGGAGAGTTCAAAGACCTAAGCCTTGATGACTTTAAGGGGAAATATTTGGTGCTTTTCTTCTACCCTTTGGACTTGTAAGTGTAATTTCTGTGATGCCTTAATGTCGTTCTGAGAGCAGGCAAAGATCCCAGCTTCACCCTGACATTTCCTATCTCTTCTGGTCAAGGGAGGGGTTCTTCGGGTCGTTTATCATTGGCGACTGTGCAGAGTACAGCTTGCAGCTGCAGCTAATCTGATACCCATGGCATTCTTGTTAGTGGGGAAGGGTTTTGATGGCGCTGTTTTGTGTACTCGGAGCAGTGGTTTCTGTAAGCCATGCTGTCTAGAAGGAAGCTGTCCCTGGCCTGGAGGAAAATGAGGAAAAGAAAGATAATAATGAAATGAGTTTTCCCATAAAGTTCTTTATTTAATTTTTTTCTTTGTTCTTAGAATATGCCTCTTTTCCCCTACCCACCCTCATTCTTTGATATTCTTTTTTTTTTTTAATGTTTATTTGAGAGAGGGAGGGAGAGAGAGAGAGTACACGCGCATGCAGGCGGATGAGGGGCAGACAGGCAGCAGAGGATCCGAGGCAGGCTCTGTGCTGACAGCACAGAGCCCAGTGAGGGGCTCAGACTCACAAACCATGATATGACCTGAGCCAGAGTCAGCTGCTTACCTGACTGAGCCACCCAGGCATCCCTTTTGATCATGATTCTTAGCTAGAAAGGGGAGTCCATCGAAGGTGGTTAGCCATTGTTGCCTTTTTCACCTTTAAGCAGGTTGAACTAGTCTTTAGACTACCTATCGTTTAATTTTTAAATCCTCGTTTTTAAATTCTCTGATGGGAATTTCTGCCCTTTTCTCCTAGCACCTTTGTGTGTCCTACAGAAATTGTTGCTTTTAGTGACAAAGCCAAGGAGTTTCACGATGTGAACTGTGAAGTTGTTGCGGTTTCGGTGGATTCGCACTTCACCCATCTCGCCTGGATAAACACACCGAGGAAGGTATAACCTCCGTTACCCTACCTTTGCTGTCAGGATCCTGAAAACTGAAAAGATCCCATGAAAGACTAGCCTAGAAGTTGTTAGAGCACGATTAGTTTGAAATGGGCGTTTATAGGTCCTAAGCTACTGGCAGATTTTGTTAAACTCTGTCCACACCTCCCTCCACGTTGCCTGGATTTACTGCCCACTACACGTGTGTTTTCTAGGGGACAGACAGTAACGGAGCAGCCTCAGCAGGGCAGGGGTGGGGCTGGCCGGGCTTGGCTGCCTCCTCTCTCACCCTTACCTTGTACATCCCATGTACCCCGCCTGGCTTGTGGGACAGTGGTTGGTAATTTCACCCTTTTGCATGATCATTGTTCCTGCCTAAAAACTTGCTTGGGAGAATAAAAATTTCTAGCTATGTTCATGGACTATCAATACCAAATTATTCAAAAAGTCTTTGTATTACTCTTCCATTTTTATGCTACAGAAATTAATCTTCAAGTAAGAGAATGCTTCAAGGGTTAGAAAAAGAAAGGTTTACAGTGTTAGCTGGGTTTCAGTCATGCCTCTGTCCCTTTCTAGTTGTGACCTGAAACAAGTTACTTAACCTTTGTGTGCCTCAAGTTTCCTCACCTGTAAGAAGACGATGATCGTGGTACCTACTCCAGGATGGTTGTGGGGAGGAAGTGAGTTAACAGGAAGAGCTTAGAGCAGCACTCGGCCCGCTGTCGGTGCTCAGTGGCTGCTCCCTCCTGTCATTCTTTTTTTTTTTTTTTTTTATAGTTTATTTATTTTTGAGACAGAGACAGAGCATGAGTGGTGTAGGGGCAGAGAGAGAGGGAGACACAGAATCCGAAACAGGCTCCAGGCTCTGAGCTAGCTGTCAGCACAGAGCCTGATGTGGGGCTCGAACCCACAAACCGTGAGATCATGACCTGAGCTGAAGTCGGACATTTAACCAACTGAGCCACCCAGGTGCCCCTGCCTGCTGCCATTCTTGTTGGGCTCAGACATCACGTTACCTGGCGGGGAACAGTGAGACCATGTCACAACCAGTCGTGTTTGCATTTTTATTAGAATGGTGGTTTGGGCCACATGAACATCGCACTCTTGTCAGATTTGACTAAACAGATTTCCCGAGACTACGCCGTGCTGCTGGAAGGCCCTGGTGTTGCTCTGAGGTAAGATGCTGTTCCTTATGAACTTAAACTTGTTTTTCATGTTTAGCATCATCTCACTTCTTGAGGAATTTGTAGAGACCTCGGTAAAGCATTGGGAAGACCAGAAAGCCTCCACTCACCTTAGCCTCCTGTGAGTGCCGATGAGTGCCTGCTGCGAGGGTTGGCAGAGGCCTTCAGAATGGTCACACTGCCGCACTTGCTCTAACCACCTGGGAGCCGCTTTCTTGGGGGGAGGGCGGCCCACTCCTGGCATGTTTGGGGAAGGGGAGACCAGCAGCTCATAGTAGTCAGGAAGCTGGCATTGGGATGAGATCTTGTTCAAGCCCCTGAGTCAGACTAGAGTTTGAATTTTGCTTTTTAACTCAGCTACTTGTTTAACAGCTGTAGGAGTTGGGGCAAGTTAATGTCACCTTTCTGAGTCCCAGTTTTCCTATCGCTGAACTGAAAATGTACCTACCGGGTTGGTTGGGGGGACTAAATAAGGGGAGGCAGCCCGAGTTTGCAGCACAGGGTCTGGTAGCTTTGAAGACCCCTGTCCCAGAATGTCATTTCTGTCCTCATTCATTCAGTGATTAGAGCTTGATTCCTTTGAGTGTTGAAGCTTTCTGTCTCTAACAGTCTTATGTGTGGACACAGCCTTCCCTTCCGAGCGGGGGATAAGCACTTAGGCCTTAGAATGGCATCTTGATGGCCACTGAGTGAAGGGGGGGTTGGGCAGAACTTTACCTCCAGGAAGCAGATGAGGACCTCACTGGATGCACCTTGCAGTGTTGCTGGGGCCGGTTTGTCCTGCTCACCTGCTCTGTCTTGTCACCTCACTCTTCTCTGGCCCACTTTCCTTTTGGGTTATACCTGGAATTTCAGTTCTCCACCTTGGAGCTTGGGCCTTTTTTATACTCCAGGCAGAATCTCTCTTGCTTTATTAAACTAAAGCCTGGCTTTGGCAAAGTTGGCAAGGGAGGGGAAAGAGAGCGCTGGCACTTTCCTCCCGGGGCCCCTTCGCTGTAGGGTCGTGCTAGCGTTGCCCTTCCTTCCCTGCCGGTTCCGCCATTAGGATTGACAAGGGAGAGTAACCGAGTCTGGTTTGTGAGATGAGGCTTTCTTTCTGGAGTCTGTGGGCCCTTCTCGGGCATTCACCAGGACCCCATAAAGCCTCACAGCCTAGACGCCCAAGAGCTGGGCCACGGAGGAAGAAGCACCCTTTTACCTTTCTTTTTTCTCTTACTTGCTTTTTCCCTGCACGCTTAACACTTGGAGTGCCACTCCCTTTTAAGATGGACTGTTAAAACCTGTGGTTTAAACATACCTGCATATGTCATAGTAACATCGAGACTCGTACAGAAGATGAGCATGGACCTTGGTTTTCCCTTTTAGATTTCTGCCGCCTAGACTTAAGACTGGTAAATTCTTTCTGCAAAGATTTCCCCTGGGGTTTTCCACCATTTACCCAAGAATTCACTCATTTCATAAGTATTTACTGAACATAGATAAAATACTTCTCTCTCTTTTCCTTTTTTTTTTTTTTTAATATTTTTATTTCAAGGAGAGAGAGAGACAGCGTGAGCAGGGGAGGGTCAGAGAGAGAGGAAGACACAGACTCTGAAACAGGCTCCAGGCTCTGAGCTGGCAGTCAGCACAGAGCCAGACGCGGGGCTCGAACTCACGAGCCGCGAGATCATGGCCTAAGCGAAAGTTGGACGCTAAACCGACTAAGCCACCCAGGCGCCCCTCTCTCTTTTCCCTTTTGCCTGTGGTTTCTTGCCAAGGTTTGACACAGCAGCTCAAAGAACACCCCGTATCACTAATAAGTGAAAGAAGTCTTTGCTCTCTGGGGCTTTTAATTAACTAATTAATTAATTTTTAATTTCTTTAATGTTTACTTATTTTGAGAGAGAGAGAGAGACAGAGCATGAACAGAGAGAGAGGGAGACACAGAATCTGAAGCAGGCTTCAGGCTCTGAGCTGTCAGCACAGAGCCTAATGCGGAACTTGAATTCACAAACCGTGAGATCATGACCTGAGCCGAAGTCAGACGCTTAACTGACTGAGCCACCCAGGCGCCCCTCTCTGGGACTTTCAGATTCTCTGTGACAGTCCAGTCACATTTGTAATTGTGACCACCTGCTTTCCATGCTGTCCTGGTCCAGTCGTACCTTTGTTAAAGCATCTCATCAATAAGAGATGATCCGCTTTCTATATAACAATGAAAACGCCACGGTTAAGCATATGATTGAATTTAATAAATGCTTTATTGATGAGAATTAAAGACAAAAATGGGTAGAAGTTAACTTTCTAGTTCTCTCTAGCACATTCTGCTGAAATACTAATGAGAATAAATTCTGATGCAGAGGTCTCTTCATAATTGACCCCAATGGAATCATCAGGCATTTGAGTGTCAATGATCTCCCCGTGGGCCGAAGCGTGGAAGAGACCCTCCGCTTGGTGAAGGCGTTCCAATTTGTGGAAACCCATGGAGAAGTCTGCCCAGCAAACTGGACCCCGGATTCTCCTACAATCAAGCCACATCCAACTGCTTCCAGAAAATACTTCGAGAAGGTAAACCAGTAGATCATCCACCCCGTGTACCTGCAGCTCCTCCCATCAGAAAAGAATCACAGTTGGAACTCATCTATTAGCATTTCAAAGATGATTATTTATAGAAGAGAAAAAACCAATTATGTTTGTATTCATAAATAATACTCAGTGTTTTCCTTTTGTAACATTGGCTAAGGCTTTTACATGTACTCACACAGAGCGTCCTTTATTGGTAACCTGTTGGTAGCTAGCTAGTTTATAGAATTTGCTAGTTCACCTATTCCTTGGATTGTGTCTTCAATGGGAAGAGTAAATCCTCTTCTCTCTCAGCCTTACTTGAACCTCTGTGTGCAGTGGAGAAGTCTAACAAGCTCCGAAAGTTTCTGATCAAGGGTCCTGAAATTTTCTTCTTGGATTTCTTTGTACTAAACTGAATTCTCTTTTCAAGTAACAAAGATCATAGTTTGAAGGTGTTAACATCAACAGACTGCTTTAATTCTTGCAGTGGATGTATGTGTACTTGAAACAAATCTCAATGTTTTTTAAAAAAAAACACGGTGACAAACGACTTAAGTGATCATGCATGTTTCTCATCTCTGAGATTAAAAGTTACTTTATTTGTTAGCTGACATAGTGTCCACAAATATTCTAGACATTGATTGTCCGTAACTATAAAGGGTGTTTGTTGAATCCAGGAATTGCATTTGAAATCATTATAATCCTTTTCTGAAGTGCTCAATGTAAAGTACATAATAAACATATTTAAAAATATTTGCATGTTTAACACCATTAATTATTGGTTCAGTTTATGTTGTAAGGCTCTAGGTTTTCTTCTGATTAGATCAGCAAACATTTATGGAGCATTTAGCTCAGGGCCCCCAAATATGAATAAGATGCTGGCTCTGTATGCAAGGAACCTGAGTTAGGGCAAGAGAGATTTGGAAGCTTCTATTCATATTTCAGTAAATCCTGGGTGCTTGTTTTGGAGGCACAAGAATGAACCAAAAAAGACAACCCCCTTCCTTCATGCAGCTATGTTCCAGAGAGGGAAACCCAATAAGTATAATAAAAATACATAGAATGTTTGAAAGATAAATAAAGTGGGTCAGGGGGCTAGAGCAGAAAATTGAGATTATTGTAGATAGGGTCGTCAGGAAGGCCTTAAGGCCTTAAAGTCAACATCCAGGTCTGTTTTCTCATCTGTAAAATGAGGGCAATAATTATCCTATTGGGGTTTTGATGAGGATCAAGTGAGATAAAACATGTAGAAAATTAAGTTAGGGGGATAAGAGGTGATGGACAAAGAGTTTGGCAAGTGCAAAAGGCCTGAGGCAAGAGCAGGCGTGGAATGGGTGAAGAATCTAAGGGGCCATGAGACTGCAGTGGTGAAGGAGGAGAATAGTCATGGGGAGCCCGGAGTGCGTTGTGGACAAACTAAGGACTTTGGATTCTCTTCTAGGGATTTAGAAGGTCTCTTCTAAGGTTCTGACTGACCAGAATCCCAGCAAGTTGTTCTAGGAGGATCACTCTGGCTCCTTTGTTAAGACTAGACTGTAAGGGTCCAGGGAAGAGACGCTGAGAGCCAGCAGAATACGGGTGTGCTGAATGCTACGGCACAGTACGCAGCGGGTGCGTTCCTGGGGCACAAGGGGGCACTGACAAGGGGGACCTTACCCCACCATGGGCGTGGGGACGGACTTCCTGGAAAACGAGATGAACCCTTGATGTTATTGAAAAGTGAGCCAGGTGAGCTGAGCAAAAGGGGCCCAAATTCACATCTGCCTGTAGAAAACCTTAAGCTTTCATGTCCCTGGAGGGGAACGCAAGACAAGGCAAGGGACAGAGGAGGCCAGCTGGCTGTTAAAGGTCCAAACTGAGCTTTTCCTATGGATTCTGTGTCATGTTAGGGTTCTTACATGTTTCGTCCCATTTGGTCCACAACAAAACGTTAAAATGGGTACAATTATTGTCCTCATTTTACAGATGAGTAAAGAGACCCATTTATATTGACTTCACCAATGCCATCCAAAGTTAGCAGTTCTCGGGGCGCCTGGGTGGCTTAGTCGGTTAAGCGTCCGACTTTCGCTTAGGTCATGATCTCGCGGTTCGTGGGTTCGTGCCCCACGTCGGGCTCTGTGCTGACTGCCAGCTCAGAGCCTGGAGCCTGCTTCAGATTCTGTGTCTCCCTCTCTCTCTGACCCTCCCCTGCTCATGCTGTCTCTCTCTCTCTCTCCTAGAAATAAATAAAACATTTAAAAAAAAATATTACAAAGTTAGCAGTTCTCCACCCTAGACCCCTGAAGACCTCTGAACTCCCTCAACATTCAGGAACACACATTCAACAAACACAGGTAACCCTCACACACCCCAGTGCGGGGCCAGCACCCCAGGGGAGGCAGCAGCAGGAGGAAGGCAGGTGCATTTCTTCTCTGCAGCCAGACCCTACTTGATCTGGTATTCAGAGGAAGGAACTGAATCTGCCCCGGTGCTGGAGAAAAAGTTGGGAGATTGCACTGCAGGCGGTGTGCCTTTCACCGGCAGGAGCAGGGCCCCACACTTAGAAGGGCCCTGGGCCTGGTTTGATGCTCGGGACGTTGACTTTTTGAAACTCTCACTCTTTTTCAAATGGGGGGTGCCACACTCAAATTTCACCGTGAAAAGTAAGTAGCCAACCCTGACTATCCCCAGTGCCCTGTACGCTGAACTTTAAGGGCAATTAAAGATTTTCCACAGTAATGTCCAAAAGTTTGGCGCACCTGTCATCCGAGTAAGATTCAGGTTCTTCTCAGTAGGTACTGTGAGGCGGGGAGGGGGCGGTCCATAGGTGACCCCTCCAACCTGGAAGCGGTCCAGCTACCCTAAAGGGAGGGTAAGCTTGGGAAGACTTGGTCTGTGGGAGGATGGGCAGGTGCGGGGGATAGGAAGCGCACGGGGACCCGGGGCGGCGTGGAGGCGTGGGATCTGGGACGCTGGCGCGTGGTGACAGCGGGCAGCGGGAACACCCGGCGCCCCGGGCTCTGGCCCTGGCGCGCGGCGACGCGGAGCAGCGGGCGAGCCTGGAACCGGGCGGCGGGAACCGGGGACGCGCGCGCGCCCGGGGCGGGGCACGCCGCCTGGCTCCTCCTCCGCGCCTGGCCGGGTGGCGGCGGTCTCCCTCCACCACGCAGGTCCCAGGGAGAGGAGCAGAGGAGCAGGAAACGCCGGGGCCGGGCGGCTCGCCGGGAGCAGCAGCGCGGCCCCGCATGGAGCCCAACGTGCGCTTCTGGATGACCCAACGCCAAGTACGGCCCGGGCCCGGCGCGGCTGGGGGCGGGGAGGTCCTGGGCCGAGTGAAGTCGCTGGCTGGAGTCGCCGCCGGCTGGCCCGATGACCTTGGGCAGGCCACGTGGTCGCACCAGCCGCCTTCCCACCGCAGACCCCGGGAGGGGACGAAAGGGAAACCGAAGCCTGCGGGAGGCCGACAGCCGGGGCTGTCACCGCGTGCCACCGCGACCCCAGGCCTGGCTAGCGAGGGTCGCCACAAGGTCACTTTACCCATCGTCCTGAGGAGTCAGGCCCCGCCTTGCAGGAGTCTGCCCTCTGCTTCCTAAGCTGTTGTTGAGCATCAGCTTGGAGAGAAACAGGTGCTCCCAGGACCCCCCCCACCCCACCCCTTCCTAACCTTCTAGGCTCAGCCACTCCGATGACACAAGGTCTGTGGGCAGCCGTGGACAGGGAGTAGCGTGGGCCCCGCCTCCCGGCGGTGACTGGGTGGCGCTGTCCAATAGAAACACGATGGAAGCCATATAGGTCATTAAAAATTTTCTAGCAGCCACATTCCAAAGGGTAACAAGAAGCAACAGAAATTAATTTTAACAGTATAGTGTATTTAGCCCAACAAATACAAAATATTAACATTTCAACACGTAATCAACGTAAAAATTATTGAGATATTTATAACCTTTTTTTACATCTTTGAAATCTGGTGTATATTTTAACACATAGACCATCTCAGTTTGGCCTGGCCGTATTTCAGAGCCACATGGGGCTAACTGGACAGTACAATTTTAGGGTGTTCTCTTTCAGCCTTACCGGAAGGAGGGCCTAGCCTGGTTTTCTTAAGTGGGGAAGTTGAAAAGGGACAGGGAACTCAAGCTTTCCTGGCAGAGCCAGGACTGGAAGGCAAAACCATTGCAAAGTTGGTGGGGTTGGGGGGGTGGGAGCCAATCATGCTTCCTCTGCCCACATGTGAACGGAGCTGCCTTTATTGAGGCCTAGCTGGGGTGACGCGTTCTTTATGACTCCAGTTTAGAGTCTTAGAACAATGATAAGAGAGTAAAGAAAAAGCTGAGAACTTTCTAGATAATTGGTTGGAGGTCATTTGTGTGATGTGAACATAGATAGGCCCATTTGACCCCAGAGTCTGAGCTTTTAACCCTCGAGAGTAATTTGATATTGGAGTAGTTAAGAGCACATGCTGCTGGATTTGGGCCTGGCCGGGTTTTCCTGAGTCCGTGATGAGCTTTACCTCACCCGGAAAATGGGGGCATTACAGGAATTGCAGTTAGAGTCTCTGTTAGGGTCACAAAACTTATGTTCACCAAAAAAAACAAAAAACAAAAAACCGAACTTATGTTCACCGTTACGATTACCATATATCTTTTTTTTTTCCTGCCACCATGAACCTCTCCGGTGCTCCTCTCCCTCTCCAGTCTTTTATTCAGAGATTTGTTCAGTGGACTGAATTATTGGATCCTACAAATTTGGTCATTTCAATTGTGAGTATTTCCTTGTTTTCTGAGATAATGCCCTTCACATCTTATTCTGAAACGGGAAGACTGTGTGTCCCTTTTGAAAGCAGTGGAAACAGAATCTTTGCATATTATCATGTGTTTCTTCCTTCAGAACGAGCTTGTTAGATTGGAAGGTGGGTAAGCAAATGACAGGTCATTCCAAGCTCTGGGCCAGCTGCTGGCGGTTCAAAAGGGATCAAAACAATCATCCCTGGTCATGGAGGACAGACTGGCAGAGGTGGTCACAGACCTTGACCTAGGGTTCTAAGGGAGGGGGAAGGCCAGAGGAAGGGGGCAGACAGGGAAGGTCAGATAGAAGGGACTGTAAGCAAAGCCCAGGGGAGGGAGCAGCTAGTCGGGTCAGTGCTGCAGCTTAAACAGGCAGTTCCTGAAGGGCCTTGTGTGTTATTCAGATGAGAGGAGTTTGCATTTAGCCTACAGGGTCAGGTGGTGAGGCTGTGTTTCAGAAGGTCTCTTTGGTAGCCTTGTGGCAAGGGATCATGGGGACCAGACTGTAGGTGAGGTGAGCTGTTCAGGGAATGGCTCAGCTGTCCCAGTAGAAGACCAGCATCTGAACCATGTGTGGCTTTGGGCTGAAGAGGAGGAGGTCCACAGGACACTCCCATCCTTGCACTCAAGATGTTCCATGCAGCCTTGTTTATTTATTTTTATGTTTATTATTTTCATTTTGTTAATGTTTTATTTATTTTTGAGGGAGAGAGGGAGACGGAGTGTGAGCGGGGGAGGGGCAGCGGGAGAGGGAGACAGACTCCAAAGCAGGCTCCAGACTCTGAGCTGTCAGCACAGAGCCGGACACGAGGTTCGTGAGATCGTGACCTGCGCTGAAGTCGAACACTTAACCAGCCAATCAACCCAGGCGCCCCACAGCCTATTTGTAATAGAGAAAAACAACCTGAATGCTCATCAGTAGGGAAACAGAGAAATATAATGTGGCCTATTCATACGGTGGAATACTAATAGACGTTGAAAGTGATGATC